GTATGTACTCACTCATATATGTATTTTAGACCTAGATCAAAGGATCATCAGCCTATAATTCACACCACCAGAGGAACTAGGATACAAGGTGTATTCTAAGAGATTCATATAAAGTCCCTCACAAAACTGGGATGGGACAAGTCCCCCAGTGCTCAGGGGAAGTGGGGGGGCAGTGAATGGAGAGAGAAATAGGAGAAAGTGAGGGAGAGGAAAGGAAAACATGTGCGACCAGGAAGATTGAGCCTGGTTAGGAATAGAAGACAGGAGAGAGAGAGAGAGAGAGAGAGAGAGAGAGAGAGAGAGAGAGAGAGAGAGAGAGAACATAAAAGAGGGAGCCATATTGGTTTGAAGATAAAATTGAACACAAAGAAAGGTCTAGAGAACTACAAGACTGCTGCCAACTAACAATTTGAGCTTCCGTGGAAAGGCTACCATAAATGCCCTTCCCAGAGAGTGAGATCAACAACTAACTTATCCATGGAGCCCTCAACTAATGCCTGTTGGAAACAGGAGCAAACACCCATACATAAACACTGAGTGGAAGTAGAACCCAGATGCAGATGGAGAGGACAAGACCAGGCGGCAGAAACATATAGAGACAGCTTGCCTGAACAAGGAGGAGCTAACGGGCCCCCAGACTGATAGCTGGGAAGCCAGCATGGGACTGACTCAGGCCCCCCTGAATATGGGTCTCAGCCAGAAGGACTGAGCAGTCTAAGAGACCTCAGACAGTGAAGCCAGGATGTATCCCTGGTGCACAAAAGGACTTTGCGAACACATCCCCCATGGAGGGATAACTACTTTAATCTAGAGACAAGAGAGAAGCCCTAGTCCCTACTTCACATGACCTGTCAGATGTACATGACCCCAAATGGATGGCATTCCCCTACATATGGAATTGGGGTGGGGGGGATGGGAGGGAGGGTGGTTAGAGTGCATGTGAGAGGACAGAGAGGGTAAAGGAGAGGGAAAGAGGGAGGAAGGGAGGGAGGGAGAGGGAACTGGGAATGACATGTAAAATAATAAATTAAATTAAAAAAATGCTTTGACTCCAAAATTTAAGTTCAAGGACAAGTTACTGGGGAAAAGGATTTCTATTTTTGTTTCCACAGAAAATGAAAAGATGTGGATTCCTTCCAGACTAATGTGGTTTGATCAAGCCAGACCACCTGAAACAGAGTACCAGGTGATCCTACATTGAAAACAGCTGGACAAAGCAGCGTTACAGACTACAGCCAGGATTTGTGAATCTTCTTCGAATCCCCCATAACAGTGCCCTTTACCAGCAGGAAGTAGTTTGGAAAGAACAACCCCCAAATTCCCAAATATTGTCTATAAATGTTTGTTTTCATTTAAATGGACTTGGTTATATAAAATAAATTTAAAAAAAGGGAAAAAAATAGAGTGTTAGTGGGTAGTGTGTGGTATTTTACTTGGTGTCCCTTGAACAGTCCTGGCATAAGGTGAAATAGACATCTTCCATAATTATGGGCTAGAATATGGAGCCCTGGGGAAGGGGTGCAATTTTTAAAAATTAGCATCAACTATTCCATTGTAAGGTATATAAAAGTAGGTACTCACATAATAGCAAAGTTTGTTTGCAGAAGCATTCTCTGAGGATTGACACATAGCCCACAGAAATGTAGAATATATACAAATGAATATATGCAGGTACAGCATCCAAGGTTCAAGAGCCAAGGGAGTGACAGCCAATTGCCATAATTCATTACTATTTTTAAACTCTGGGATTAATTCAAGTTATGTAATTCTGACAATGTAAAAGAATGTTAAGTAGAACATTCCTAAGTGGGATGGGGCAGTGTACATGAAGTATATGAGCAGTATTGCATAGGTGTATATGTTCCTGTTCTGGAGAAGTAAAAATAGGGGAGATTCATGCATTAGCATGCTTCTTTTCTCCTGCAATATAAACAGGGATGCTGGAATATGCACAAGTATGAGTAATAAAGGATGTCAATGGGTTTTTACCAGATGTTTTAGTTCTTGTAGTAATGGAGCATAACAGGAAGTATAGATAAAATTAAAGCAGTTTCTATTGCTAAAAATATTCGCATAACATAAGCAGAATCTGAACTATTTGAAGGTTTATAAATTGACTATAATACATTAATTAAGACAGTCAGTTCCACATATCCAGCTCAGGAGAAAGAAGTATTAAAAAAAATTGATGAATATCTGGACTAGTAATCCTTCCTAATCCATTAGATGAACCACTCATAAACATCTATCTGTGGAAATGGGAGGGGTTTGGACAATTTTTATAATCATAAGTTCAGATCATATGAGAAAGCCCCTATTTGCCAGCTCAATAAGGATTCTCTATTTTTTCATTGTAATCTGCAAATGATTTGAAAGTATCCAGTTCTATCTCTCTCTCTCTTTTTTGATCTTTTTGAGACAAGGTTTCTCTGTGTTGCTTTGTAGACCAGGCTAGCCTCAAACTCACAGAGATCTGCCTGATTCTACCTTCCAAGTGCTGGGATTAGAGGTATGCACCACCATGGCCCAGCTAGTCCACCCAGTTCTTTCACACTTAAATATTTCATTTTTTTTTTTTAAAGCTGCACTGCCAATTACACCTCATAAGGCAAGTAAGGAATTGGTAAAGTCAGCTTTTTCTAGGTTCTCCTAAATATTCACCAAAATAGAGAGAATTCAAGATTATATTGATCAGTAAATTACCTGATGCTTCAGGGTCATTTTCAAAAAAAAAAAAAAGGAGGATATGTATGAAAAGGAGGTTCCAGTGAGGCACAGGTGATGCTAATTTTACTTTTGATTTTGCCTGATCAAGGAAAATCATCTCTTTGCCTTTTTTTAAACCAATTTTAAAGTTTGATCATAATGTTTATATTCATTCTAGGAAGTCACTGAGTCCTCCTTATCTTCCTTAGTTTGATAAGTTCATGAACAAAAGACCCAAAATTGAACAGGGATCGTTTCCTTGTTTGCCTTTTCAATATTGTTTTGTGCTCTGTCCCATACTTCACCTAAAATTCCATCTTCTGGAAATCAGAAGTTATAATCAACTTGTAAGCAACCTAGTATTTGTAATTTTAACATGTATACTTTCTTTAAAGAAAATGATGCACTAGGGCAACATAAGGACCCCGCCCCCAGTTTCTGCCCCGTCATTCTCACTCACCTCCTTCACTGAGGATTCTCATTCTCTTAACTTGTAGCCAACTTTTGGTTTTTGTTCAAGTGCCACTTTTCACTACTCTAGAGGTGGTGGGATCTGGGAGAATGGAGCAATAAATGAGGAGGACTGAAGTCTCATACAATAGCCAACTTTATTTAGTACCCCAGACAATTTATACTCTTATGAGTTCAGGCTGTATACAACAATAAAAAAAATGAGTCACACAGGAAAAAATATGTTTTTCCATACAGGTATATAAAGGTTAGTTGAAACATTTAATTGAATAACAACAGCAATAAATAATAAGTAATCTGAAGTCAACTCACACCTACCTGCTACACCTGGGAGGAATATACAAACACATTCCAAGAACAATTCCATGTTTTGAACAAACCTTGAAGTCACAAGGTTAGGGTTAGGGTTCAGGGTTAGGGTTAGGTCTTGTTTTCTTGGAGTGTTAGCACAAGCATTTAGAATTCTCTTCAAATGAGTCCTTTTCAGAACCACGGTCCAAGAAGACATTTAAATTAATTTTACATATACATATAGAAAGCTCTTTTAAAATATGAAGGCGTGCGCGCACGTGCGCGCGCGCGCACACACACACACACACACACACACACACATCTTTGCACCACTTGCATACCTGGTGTTTAAGGAATCCAGAAGAGTACATTAGAGCTCCAGGATAAGGTTTATAAGTAGTTCTGAGCCAACTGATGTTAAGAACCAAACTTGTTTAGCTAACAGCAGCAGTAAACTGAGTAAAATCCTCAATTCTCAAATATGTCATTGTAATGAAGATGTGCCATTACTCTTTCTGTCTTCTATCACTTGGAGGTGATGAAACTCTCTGCTATATGGACAATGAAGGATTGAATGGATTTCTATTCCTTCATGAACAATCTTTGCACATTGTTTATTATTGTCATTGTTAACATAATTCTCTTAATGTGAATGAAGACAATGAAAGACTTGAGATGATGCAAGACTATATTAGATAAAGTTTCATAATGTGATACATTCTTTTTTTGATAATTTATTTTACATGCACAGGTATTTTGTTTGTATGTAAGACTGTTAGGGTGTTGGGTAACCTTGAACAGGACTTACAGAGAGCTTTACCACATTGATTACATTCATAGGGATTATCTCTTTGATGCCTGTGGGCTCTGTGCCTTCTGGAAGAACAGCCATTGTGTTTAATTGCTGAGCCATCTGTCCACAACTTTTTTTTTCTTATTTTAGTTTTTGGAATCTTAGATTTTTGGCAATGAAACACAATGACCAAAAGGCAAGATGGGGATGAAAGGGTTTATTTGGCTTACACTTCAGCACTGATGTTCATCACTGATGGAAGTCAGGACAGGAACTCCAACAGGGCAGAGACCTGGAGGCAGAAGCTGATGCATAGGCCATGGAGGGGTGCTTCTTAATGGGTTGCTTCCCATGCCTTGCTCAACCTTCTTTCCTTATCTATCACATTTAAAAATATGCCCAACAGCCAGATCTTATGGAGGCATTTTCTCAAATGAGTTTCCATGAATATAACTGTAGTTTCTGTTTGAAATTGACATAAGACTAGCCAGTATGACTGACCACTTGTCAACTTGACACAAAAACATCACTTTTATTCCACCTTCCCTTTCTTATTCATTCCCAAGATTTCACATTGAAAACATAAATAACCTTAATTAAATTCAACTCACTATATATTCAAAATCTCTTTTAAAAGTTCAAAGTCTTTCAACTATTTTACAATTTTTGATTTGTAAAAATCAAAATTAAATCAAATACCTTCTCCCTTCAAGAGGGAAGCAGCAGGGCAGCCATAGTCTGAAAAACAAAACCAAATTGACTGGTTCTATTTCACCACTACTAACGGTCTTGGTGGACACCCCATGATACTGGCATCTCCAAAATGATTGTCTCTGTCTAGTGTGCAAAGGTTTACCTCTTTTTTATGTTCATGGGATTTTTCTCTAGTATGTATTTCATGATTTTGAAGATGAGTGTTACATGCAAAAGCTTTACCATATTGATTACATTCATACGGATTCTCTCCAGTATGACTTCTTTCATGTCTGTGAAGATGACTCTTCTCTGCAAAGGCTTTACCACATTGAGTACATTCATAGGGTTTCTCTCCAGTATGAGTTTTTTCATGACTGTGAAGATGACTCTTCTGTGCAAAGGCTTTACCACACTGATTACATGAATAGGGTTTCTCTCCAGTATGACTTCGTACATGCTTTTGAAGAGTACTGCTATCTGCAAATGCTTTTTTACATTGTTTACAAACATAGGGTTTCTCTCCAGTATGACTTCTTTCATGCTTGTGAAGATTAATCTTTTGTGCAAAGGCTTTACCACACTGATTACATTCATAGGGTTTCTCTCCAGTATGACTTCTTTCATGCCTTTGGATGCTACTAGGATATGCAAAGGCTTTACCACATTGATTACATTCATATGGTTTTTCTCCAGTATGATTTCTTACATGTTGTTTAAGATTGCTGGAATTTGCAAAGGCTTTACCACATTGATTACATTCATAGGGTTTCTCTCCAGTATGATTCCTTTCATGCTTGTGAAGACTACTGCTATCTGTAAAGGCTTTGCCACATTGATAACAAACATAGGGTTTCTCTCCAGTATGACTTCTTTCATGCCTGTGAAGATTACTCTTCTGTGCAAAGGCTTTACCACATTGATTGCATCGATAGGGTTTCTCTCTAGTATGAATACTTTCATGCCTATGAAGATCATCAGTACTTGCAAAGGCTTTGCTGAATTGGTTACATTCATAAGGTTTCTCTCCAGTATGAATTATTTCATGTGTTTGACGAGAATTGCAACAATGAAAGGCCTTATCACACTGATGACATCTATATTGTTGCCCTCTAGAGTGAGTTTTAGGTTCTTGAAGATAACTATGACATGCAAAGGCATTATTACCTTGATTGTATTCATAATATTTTAGTTTCAAAGGCGTTCTTTCATGTAATTGTAAAGAGGAATCAGATTTAAATGTTTTATCCCCTTGTTTACATTCATAAGATTTGTCTTCATTATGGGATCTCCTGTATGTTTGAAGATACCTGTGATGGTTAAATCCTTTAGCACATGACTCACATTTACAGCATCCTTTACCCATATGAAATATTTTACGTGTTTGAAGAGAAGTAGAACTCAGAGCTTTACCACACTGGTTGCATTCATAACATTGTCCTATAGTGGGAATCACATTACATGTGCAACATGAACCAGGACAGAGAGAAGAATTTCCATATTCCTTGTACTCATAAGGCTTTTCTCCAGTGTAACTATGTTGATGTATTCCCAGTGAAGATGGAAATCCAATTAATTCTACATTTGTATCATGAACACACTGTCTACTAATAGTGTTAACTACTACATATCTTCTAATTTTTCTGGGAGAGAGAGAGGCACATTGCTTCTTTCCATATCCCTCATGCTCATTTGGCTTATATCCAGAGTGACAGATGATATACCTATTAAAGGAACAATTACAAACAAAAGGTTTTCACATTGCCTTCACACACTTCAAAGTTTTGTTCCTCATAGAGATATGGAATAGGGATTAAGATCTCTTCACTACAACTTTCTTGATTCTCATAAACTGTCCTCATTACATTGTGGTAAGTCACTAGGAGTATATGAGCAACACTAGCTTTACTGTGCACTATTTGCTTATAAAAGGTCTTAGATATATCCTAATACCCTAATGAATGTGAATGCCTTCACAATACTTGAATGGAATGAAACTGTATGAATAGGTATTTCTGCAACATGGATCTCAGGGGGCTATAATTAATATGGTGATATTTGTTAAGGCATTCTTTCCTTGTCTTGTTTCTTTGAAGACTGTATTGTAAACACGGATCAGCTACCTGAAACAGAAGTACACAATGTTTTAAGAATGTTTTAAATATTTATTTATTTATTCATTATGTATACAGTGTTCTGCCTTCATGTATGCCTGCAGGCCAGAAGAGGGCACTGGATCTCATTATAGGTGGCTGTGAGCTACCATGTGGTTGCTGGGAAGTGAACTCAGGACCTCTGGAAGAACAGTCAGTGCTCTTAACCACTGAGCCATCTCTTAGACCCAATGTTTTAAGAACTTAGTAATCACCATAAAGCTGTAATTATTTATACTGTTGCTTTTCATTAAATATTAGGGCATATTAAATTTTTTTCAAAGGCATAAATGTATGTCTTTGCACATGAAAATTACCTTCCATATCTTCTAGAACTCTGACAATGTTCTTCAATATTCTGGTCTTCCCATTTGTAGCCTAAAACATATTACCAAAAATGTATGATATATTATTGGAAATTATGCCAAGTTTGAGTTATTTTCAGTGATTGTTTTACAAGCATGCCTGACTCATTCACTACATTCTTCTTCTCTAACAGTCAAAATCACAGCAGAACACCAATCTCAAAGAAAGGTTAGTCTTAAGTTACAAAGATACAGAAAGTTGGCATTCTTACCTATAGAAATGAGGTTCTCACAGGTTTCCAGCATCACATCTTTGTAGAGACTCTTCTGGGAAGGATCCAGCAAAGCCCATTCTTCATGAGTGAAGCTCACATGCACATCCTCATAGGTCACTGCATCCTAAAGTATCCGATATTGAACATAATAGAAATGTTGAGACTGACTTCATTGTAAATGTAAACTCCACTGTGAATATATTTACACAATTCTGTGTGCTGAAAAATTTATTTAATAGCACAGAATTTCAAATGCACTCACCAAGTCATTTTAGAAGGAAACAGAAAAGGTGGACCATGACTCTCATTTCTGGGCCCTCTGAATAGTATATGACATGGCAAGAAATGCTGACTTACACATTTATAGAGACATATAAACAGAGCAATAGTACTGAGCAAACATCATCAAAATTGTATCTAAGTTACTGACATCAAAAAAGGATGGACAAGGTGGGCATGGTGGTGCACAGTTTTAAACCCAAAACTCAGGAGGCAGAGGCAAGTAAATCTCTGTGATTTCCAGGCCAGACTGGTCTGGCCAAAGGTACATATTGAGACCCTGTCTCAAACAAAGAAGAAGAAAGGAGAGAGAGAGAGAGAGAGAGAGAGAGAGAGAGAGAGAGAGAGAGGGAGAGGGAGAGGGAGAGGGAGAGACAGAGCGCATTCAGGCTCACTCTGCATTCCACCAATGAGATAAACACTCACTCCATAAATGTAGTTGTCTTCCAGAAAACTGGAGTGCCTCATGTAAACTCTAATGGTCATATGATATTCCTATGAAGGATTGTATTTTTAGTAAGCTAATGACTGACAGATCAAAAGTGTTCTAAAAACACTAGTAAGTAAAGATTAATCCCAAAAAAAAAAAAAAATCAATCAAACAAACAAAACCCAGTACAGTATAAAGATGCTTAAAGAGTTACAATTACTTGTTACTTTTGCATTGGACTTGGAAAAATCCCAGCACTCGGAGCTTCTAACAATTTGTAACTACTGATCAAGAGAATTCTGACTTCAGTGAATACCACACACACACACACACACACACACACACACACACACACACATGACTCATGCACACATTTCAAAATTTAAAAAAAATAAAACATGCATAAAGATATGGAGATGTTATACATCGGCAACGTAATGATTCAGGAGATCAGTATTAATGTCATGGATGCATGCCATCCTGGTAGAAACATGATACTTTTTTTTGCCAAATTTTAAAAGTAAAGACGTGGGTAAAGCTCAGCATAAGAGTAAATGCTTCACACATATAAGAACATCATTCTACCAGTATAAATAACAAATAAAAATATCATGGAAGAAAAATGGCTTAGCAAAAAAAAAAAAAAAAAAAAAGCAATCACATCGATTTTACTTTACATTATTTAGGAATGGGGTCTGTTATGGTGGGGATGTAGTGGCTTTTTGTCCTACTGGGCCCATTGTTCCGCTGCTCTGGGTGAGCACTGGGCCAGATGTGGGTCCAACAACCCTTCCACATCCATAGAACTTCCTGGGTCTTCTCTGAGCACACTGGACCTGCCTACCCACATGGGAGCAACCTGAGGCCACACTGGCCTGATCTTTGGACCACATCGCCAGCCCTCTGCTGGAATAGAGACCTACAAGAGAACTTGGATCATCCAGAGTACAGACATCGAACTCCTGACCCAGCTACAACCACCTGGAGAGCAGGATGGAGAGAGAGACTCCACCTGCACTCACTGGAAGAAGTGATGGGAAGATGGTAATACAAGAAAATACCCAAAAATAGAAAGACAAGCATGACACCACCGGAATCTAGGGATTTTACACCAACTAGACCTGAACACACCACAGCAAATAAAGCAGAAGAGAATAACTTAAAAAATAACTACATAAAAATGACAGAGGCCCTCAAAGATGATATGAGACAATCCCTCAAAGAAATGGAAGAAAATAAAATTGGAAGAAATAGAGGAAAAGACCAAGCAAAAAATGCAAGAAATGAACAAATCTCTTTAAAAAAGTAAGGAAAGCCAAGAAAAACAAACAGATGAAAGAAAAATATAAACAGTTCAAGACCTGAAAACTGAAATAGAGACAATAAAAAGAAAAAAAAAAAAAAACTAAGGGAATGCTGGAAATAGAAAAACTGGGTAGACAATCAGGACTACAGACACAAATATAACAAACAGAATACAAGAGATTGAAGAGAGAATGTCAGGTGTGGAAGATAAACTAGAGGAAATAGATTAATCGACCAAAGAAAATCATAAATCCAACAAAACCTTAACACAAAACATCCAGGAAATATGGGACACCATGAAAAGGCCAAATCTAAGAATAATAGGCATAGAAGAAGGTGAAGAAGCCCAGATCAAAAAGTGCAGAAAACATATTCAACAGAATCATTGAAGAAAACTTTCCCAATCTTTAGAAGGACATGCCTATGAAAGAACAAGAAGCATAATGAACAAATAGACTGGACCAAAGGAAAAAGACCCTTCGTCACATAATAATCAAAACACTTAAAATACAGAACAAAGAAAGAATACTAAGAGAAGTGAAGGAGAAAGGCCAGGTAACATAAAAGGCAGACCCACAAGGATAACCCCAACTAACAATCTGAGCAACAGTGGAAAGGCTACTTTATATGCCCTTCTCTGATAATGAGATTGATAACCAACTTATATGCCATCATGGAGCCCTCATCTAGTAGCTGATGGAAACAGAAGCAGACACCCAAAGCTAAACACTGAGCTGACCTCCTGGAATCCAGTTGCAGAGAGGGAGGAGTGATAAGAAAAGGGGTTAAGACCAGGCTGCAGAAACCCATAGAGACAGCTGACCTGAACAAGGGGGAGCTCATGGACCCCCAGACTGATAGCTTGGAATCCAGCATTGGACCAACTCAGGACCCCTGAACATGGGTTTCAGTCAGAAGGCCTGGGCAGTCTAAGGGACCTCAGACAGTGGAACCAGGATGTATTCCCGGTGCATGAAAGGGCTTTGGGAGCACATTCCCTATGGAGGGATACTCCTTTACCCTAGAGGCAGGGGGGAAGGCCTAAACCCTACTCCAAATGATTTGACAGATTTTGATGATCCCTCTTAGAAGGCCTCACCCTCCCTGTGGAGTGGGGGGGGGGTTGTCATGGGAGGGAGATGGGAGTATGGGAAGGTGGGAGGGAAAGGGAAATGGGATCATATGCAACAATATTAAAATATATTTACATTTAAAAAAGAAAAAAATTAAAATCTCAGATTTAACATTTGGATTTCTGGCTGGAGAGAACTAAGGATCCGCTGTTCAGAGTAGATAATGTTTTCTCTGGTAACTCAAGTTTAATTCCATGACCTATATCAGGCTGAGAGAACCTGACTCAAAACAAAGTACAGAAACATAACTTTAAGATAGACTCGCACTATGCAGCAGTTGCTGGCCTAGAACTTTCTAGGTACTGTTTGGGAAAGAATAAAGAGACCAAGCACCTAGGAGAAAAGCTAGAAATCAAAGCACAATTAATACAGAGTCAGTTTTGACACCTGCGGTCAGGAAACCCAGAAGTCTGGCGTTACCAACACAGATGACTGGACCACCCTGCCATCTCCATGCAAATGAGTTAATGACACAGACTTTACGCCCTGCACAGAATTAACTGCAGGCGGATCCTACACCTGAATGGTCATTGCCAAATGCAGAACTTCTGGAAACAGCAGAGAAAGCAAGGCTCCTTCGGTTAATAATCTGCCTTCCACTGCAAAGATGAAAGCTGCGCGTGCGCGTGCACTGCATGACGACGTCAGCAACAAGGACAAATCATCACACAGTCCACCCAAGCCCGTGAGTGGAGGGAAACAGCACTGACCTCACGTGACCTCACCGGCCCTGGTTCCCACAGCCCCAGGATGACCGAGACCGGCTCCCGTGGCTCCTCCCCGCGTGGGGACGGCGGCCCCTCGCTCACCATGGCGGGTTCCGAGCTCACCCCGCTCTCCTCACAGCTCCTGGCAGCGGACTACAGCGCAGAAGAG